TGTCATCCGTCTCTCCTCCTCTCGTCTCGTCTCTCATCCTCCTCTTGTCTCTCCGTCTGTCATCCGTCTCTCATCCTTCTCATCTGTCTCTCATCCATCTCTCCGTCTCTCATCTATCTCTCATCCGTCTCTCCTCTCGTCTCTCATCCGTCTCTCCTCTCGTCTCTTCTCTCATCCGTCTCTCTTCTCGTCTCTCCTCTCGTCTCTCATCCATCTCTCATCCGTCTCTCCTCTCGTCTCTCATCCGTCTCTCTTCTCGTCTCTCATCCGTCTCTCTCATTCTTCTCTCGTCTCTCATCCGTCTCTCATCCGTCTCTCATCCGTCTCTCATCTGTCTCTCATCTGTCTCTCATCTGTTTCTCATCTGTGTCTCATCTCTCTCTTCTTGTCTCTCTTCTCGTCTCATCCCTCTCTCCGTCTCTCATCTCTCTCATCCGTCTCTTCTCTCGTCTCTCATCCTTCTCTCATTCTTCTCTTGTCTGTCATCCGTCTTTCTGTCTCTCATCTGTTTCTCATCTGTCTCTCATCTCTCTCTTCTTGTCTCTCCTCTCTCTCTCACCCTTCTCTCATCTCGTCCTCCTCCTCCTCTCGTCTCTCATCCCTCTCTCCTCTCCCTCTCTCATCCCTCTCTTCTCCTCCGTCTCTCATCCGTCTGTTTGTTGTTGTGTTTCAGATTTTGTTGGTGCATAAGTTGGACGGACACAACAGTTTGAGTTTCGTGTGTGTGTTTGTTCCTCTGTGGCTGTCGCTGCTCACGCTCATGGCAACGACGTTCGGACAGAAGGGAGGAAACCACTGTGAGTATCTGTTTACTACTACAAGTACTACTACAAATACTACTACAAGTACTACACCACGTTCAGACAGAAAGGAGGAAACCACTGTGAGTATCTGTTTACTACTACAAGTACTACTACAAATACTACTACAAGTACTACACCACGTTCAGACAGAAGGGAGGAAACCACTGTGAGTATCTGTTTACTACTACAAGTACTACTACAAATACTACTACAAGTACTACACGACGTTCAGACAGAAGGGAGGAAACCACTGTGAGTATCTGTTTACTACTACAAGTACTACTACAAATACTACTACAAGTACTACACCACGATTTTCGGACAGAAGGGAGGAAACCACTGTGAGTATCTGTTTACTACTACAAGTACTACTACAAATACTACTACAAATACTACACGACGTTCGGACAGAAGGGAGGAAACCACTGAGTATCTGTTTACTACTACAAGTACTACTACAAATACTACTACAAGTACTACACAACGTTCAGACAGAAGGGAGGAAACCACTGTGAGTATCTCTACTGCAAAATATACTACAAGTACTACTGCAAATACTACTAAAGTACTGCAAATAATACATATACTCCTGCTCCAACTGGTGTCATGATACTAAAATTAAACTCTCTCTCTCTGCCCTCCCTCTTTTCCTTCTTTCTCTTTCTCTTCCCATGCCCCCTCTCCCCTCCTTCCTCTCTCTCTCTCCTCCCTCTCTCTCTTCCCTCTCCCTGTCACCCCCCCTTTTTCTCCCCCCTTTCTCCTCTCTCCCTCTCTCTCTCCCCCTCCCCCCTTCTCTCCCTCTCTTTCCTCTCTCTCTCTCTTCCCTCTCTCTCTTTTTCTCTCTCCCTCCCCCCTCTCTTTTCTCTCTCTCCCCGCTCTCTCTCTCTTCTCTCCCCCCTCTCTTTTTCTCTCTCTCCTCCTCTATCTCTTCTCCACCCTCTCTCTTCTCTCTCCCTCTCTCTCTTTTCTCTCTCTCTCCCTCTCTTCTCCCCCCTCTCTTTTCTCCCTCTCTCTTTTCTCTCTTTTCCCTCTCTCTCCCTCTCTCTCTCCTCTCCTCTCTCTCTCTCCTCTCTCTCTCTCTCTCTCTCTCTCTCTCTCTCTCTCCTCTCTCTCTCTCTCTCTCTCTCTCTCTCTCTCCTCTCTCTCTCTCTCTCTCTCTCTCTCTCTCTCTCTCTCTCTCTCTCTCTCTCTCTCTCTCTCTCTCTCCTCTCTCTCTCTCTCTCTCTCTCTCTCTCTCTCTCTCTCTCTCTCTCTCTCTCTCTGTCTCTCTCTCTCTCTCTCTCTCTCTCTCTCTCTCTCTCTCTCTCTCTCTCTCTCTCTCTCTCTCTCTCTCTCTCTCTCTCTCTCTCCTCTCTCTCTCTCTCTCTCTCTCTCTCTCTCTCTCTCTCTCTCTCTCTCTCTCTCTCGTCTCCTCCTCTCCTCTCTCTCTCCCTCTTCTCTCTCTCTCTCTCCCTCTCTCTCTCTCTCTCTCTCTCTCTCTCTCTCTCTCGTCTCTCCCCCTCTCTCTCTCTGTTCTCTCTCTCTCTCTCTCTCTCTCCTCTCTCTCCCTCTCTCCCTCCTCTCTCTTCTCTCTCTTTCCCTCTCTCTCTCCTCTCTCTCTCTCTCTCTCTCTCTCTCTCTCTCTCTCTCTCTCCCCCGTCTCTCCCCCTCTCTCTGTCTCTCTCTCTCTCTCTCTCTCTCTCTCCTCTCTCTCTCCCTCTCCTCCCTCTCCTCTCCCTCTCCTCTCTCTCTCCCTCCTCTCCTCTCTCTCTCTGTTCTCTCTCTCTCTCTCTCTCTCTCTCTCTCTCCCTCCCGTCCTCCTCTGTTCTCTCTCTTTTCCCTCTCTCTCTCTCTCTCTCTCTCTCTCTCTCTCTCTCTCTCTCTCTCTCTCTCTCTCCCTCTCCGTCCCTCTCTCTGTTCTCTCTCTTTCCCCTCCCTCTCTGTCTCTCTCTCTGTGTTCTCTCTCTCTCTCTCTCTCTCTCTCCTGTCAGGGTGGTTCGGGATCCGTAAGGACTTCTGTCACTTCCTGCTGGAGCTCCTTCCGTTCCTGCGGGAGTATGGAAACGTGTCGTACGACCTGCAGCGCTCGCAGGACCCGGAGGCGCCGGACGAGCCGCCGCCCTCCAGAGAAACGGCGCCCAAGATCGCCCCCATGTTCCACAAAAAGACCGGCGTCGTCATCACGCAAAGTCCCGGGAAATACTACGTCCCGCCGCCCAAACTCTGCATCGACCTGCCCGACTGAACACGAAAACAAACGACAGAGAGAAAAGTCTGGACACGCCTTTTCATTCACCTTTATTTTTTTTAATTTTCACGGTCGATTCTCACTCGCCGCGTTTACATCTTCCTCCCGTCTCCTCCTCCTCAGCCGACGGACGGAAAATAAAACCCAAAATAAGAAAAAAAAAAAAAAATAACAACTGTTTTCTTCATTATTTTTCTCCAAAACCAAAATGTAAAAACAGATGATGATTCGTTTTTTGTGTTTAAATGAAAAATGGAAAAAAACGAATAATGACCGTTTCCTGTTTACGTGACTTAAACTGCGACGCCGGACTGAACCGGGACTAAACCGGGACTAAAATGCAAATAAACTGGGACTGAATGGCGACTAAACCGGGACTAAACCGAGACTACACTGGGACTAAAAGAGGACTAAACCGGGACTAAACTGAGACTAAAACAGGATTAAACCGGGACTAAAGCGGGACTAAAGCGGGACTAAAGCGGGACTAAAGCGGGACTAAAACGGGACTAAAACGAGACTAAAACTGGTCTAAACGGCAACTAAAATGGGATTAAACGAGTCTAAAACAAGACTAAAACGCAACTAAACTGGGACTAAAACAGGACTAAATCAAGACTAAAATTGGACTAAACCGAGACTAAACCGGGACTAAACAGGGACTAAAACAGGACTAAAACGTGAATAAACCGGGGCTAAACGGGACTAAAACGCGACTAAAATGGGACTAAACCGGGACTAAAATGCAAATAAACTGGGACTAAACCGAGACTAAAACGCAACTAAACTGGGACTAAAACGAGACTACACTGGGACTAAAAGAGGACTAAACCAGGACTAATACGAGTCTAAAACGGGTCTAAAACGAGACTAAAACGCAACTAAACCAGAACTAAAATGGGACTAAAATGCGACTGAAACGGGACTAAAACGCGACTAAAACGTGACAAAACTGGGACTAAAACGAGACTAAAACGGAACTAAACCAGAACTAAAACGGGACTAAACCAGAACTAAAACGGGACTGAATCGGGACTAAAATGGGACTAAACCGGGACTAAAACAGGGTGTCAGGACAAGCCCAGAGGTGCACCTGTGTAGACTGTCGGGTGATCAGGACTGAGACCGGTTTAGTCCTGGTTCAGTCCTGTTGTAGACCTGGTTTAGACCTAGTTTAGTCCTCATTTAGTCCTGGTTCAGTCCATTTTTTTTTTTTTCCATTTTTCATTTAAACACAAAATCAAAAACTGAAAAAACTAATCATTATCTGTTTGTTTTTTTTTTCCCCATTTTGGATTTGGAGACAAATAATGACGAATTTTGTTTTTTCTTTTTTTTTTTTTTCTCTTTTTTTCTTTTTTTAAAAAGTTTTATACAAGAAATTTCCCAGGCACACTTATTTTTGACCAATCTGAAGTCCGCCGAGAGTTAAAAAAGTGGAATATTTAGGCTCAAAACCAGGAGACGTTTGGAAACACTCAGATTGACGACTTCCTTTGGGCGTTTTCGATGATAGAAACGCTGGGAAAACAGGAAATATCCCGGTTTTCTTCATCTAGACGTTACTCTCTTTTTTCTTTCATAAATCGCCGTTTTATTTGTCATTTTCATTTTATAATCCGTCTAAAAAAAAGAAAAACAAACAGACGTGTGCAGTGTGGCGTTCTGTTCCGTTCACATCAACAGTTCCAACCCGGAAACTGAAGACCTGATCAGAGTCCTGTCCCGGTTTTCCTCTCCTTTCTGGGTTTAGTTTAGACCTGGTTTAGTTCTGGTTTAGTCCCGGTTTGGTTTAGACCTGGTTTAGTCCTGGTTTAGTCCTGGTTTCGACCTGGTTTCGACCTGGTTTAGACCTGGTTTAGTCCTGGTTTAGTCCTGGTTTAGTTCTGGTTTAGTCCTGGTTTTAGTCCTGGATTTAGTCCTGGTTTTAGACCTGGTTCAGTCCTGGTTTAGTCCTGGTTTAGACCTGGTTTAGACCTGGTTTAGTCCTGGTTTAGTCCTGGTTTAGTCCTGGTTTAGACCTGGTTTAGTCCTGGTTTAGACCTGGTTTAGTCCTGGTTTTAGACCTGGTTTAGTCCTGGTTTAGACCTGGTTTAGACCTAGTTTAGATCTGGTTTAGTCCTGGTTTAGACCTGGTTCAGTCCTGGTTTAGGGTTTAGACCTGGTTTAGTCCTGGTTTAGACCTAGTTTAGATCTGGTTTAGTCCTGGTTTAGACCTGGTTTAGTCCTGGTTTTAGACCTGGTTCAGTCCTGGTTTAGTCCTGGTTTAGACCTGGTTTTAGACCTGGTTTAGACCTGGTTTAGACTGGTTTAGATCTGGTTTAGACCTGGTTTAGTCCTGGTTTAGACCTGGTTCAGTCCTGGTTTAGTCCTGGTTTAGTTTAGATCTGGATCACTCAGTTCTTGAAAAGATAATGTTGAAAATCACAGGAAGAGGATTTTTATTTTTTTATTTTTTATTTTTCGTTTTATAATCGGTCCTAAAAAAGAAAAACAAAAAGACGTGTGCAGTGCAAAAAGACGTGTGCAGTGCAAAAAGACGTGTGCAGTGCAAAAAGACGTGTGCAGTGCAGCTCCGTTACATTCAGCAGATCATTTTGACGTCGTTCTGTTGTTTGGCAGGCGGACAGTTCCGACCGGCTGCCGCAAGTCAAATCCTATGATTAGGGAGTTTTCCGTGGAAAGTTTTCGTAGTTTTTTTGACAGGAAGTCGGAAGTCGTCCTCCCTGTGTTTTTCAGACGACTTCCTGAAAGAGCGACAAGAGCCATTCAGCGGGAATAAAACACACACGTTCCTCTCCGGGAATTCATGAGGGCGTCGTGAGTCGAGGCGTCGGGGAGTCGGGCGCATTTTCCGTCTGTCTGTCATCCGTTCATCCGTTTTTCAAAATAAAACTGAAAATAAGAAACGAAAAATCGAAATGAAAAAACGGATAACGATTTTGTGTTTATAAATAATGGAAAAACCAGGACTAAAACCAGGACTAAACCAGGACTAAAACCAGGACTAAAACCAGGACTAAAACAGGACTAAACCCAGGACTAAACCAGGATTAAAACCAGGACTAAAACAGGACTAAAACAGGACTAAACCAGGACTAAACCAGGACTAATACAGGACTAAACCAGGACTAAAAGAGGACTAAAACCAGGACTAAACCAACCTCAGTCCTGTTTTAGGCCTGGTTCGGGTCTGGTTTAGACCTGGATTAGACCTGGTTTAGACCTGGTTTAGTCCTGGTTTAGTCCTGGTTCAGTCCTGGTTCAGTCCTGGTTCACTTCCAGTTCAGTCCTGGTTTAGTCCCGGTAAAGTCCCGGTTCAGTCCTGGTTCAGTCCCGGTTCAGTTCTGGTTTAGTCCCAGTTTAGTCCCGGTTCAGACTCGGTTCAGTCCCGGTTTAGTCCCGGTTCAGTCCGTTTTCAATTTTTTCCATTTTTCATTTAAACCCAAAATCAAAAACTGAAAAAAACGAATCATTATCTGTTTTTTTTTTTTTTTTCCATTTTGGTTTTTCGTTTTATTTTTGGTTTTATTTTGAAAAACGAATGAACCAATGACACACAGACTGATTATTCTCACCGCTTTATTTTTTACCAGACGGTTTTTGATTGTGAAAATGCGGTCGCCCCGTCCCTGAGAAAAGTTCAGACTCCCCCTTTTTTTTTTTTGGTCAATTTCTTCACTGGAATCGAAATTACGTTTTTCTCTCTAACCACTACAGAAACAAAAAAAAAATCAAACCACAAACCAAACGGTGACGAGACTCTGACGATTTCAATTCAAAATATTTCATAATTTCACTTTTTCTCCATAATTCCGTACGTGCTGCTTCATAGATTCATTGATTTTTAAAGTGTCGAAGTTAAAAAAAAAACAAAAACAGAAAAACCGGCTGAGTGAGCGAGAGAACGTGTCCAAACTTTTGTCTTTGAATGTTACGAAACCGAAGAAATGTGTTTATTTATAAGAGGTTCACTTCAAAACCAAACTGATTTTTTTTTTTTTTTTCTCCACATCAGCCTAAAAAAGGTAAACGGTTGGGGGAGTTCTTCATGTACGTCAATGGCTGAATGTTTATCGGTTACCACGGCGACGCAAAGTGACACATACGCCAAACCAGAACTTCACTCAACGGTTTTTTATTTTCACAGACGACGATGGTGTTAAAAAAAAAACCCAACAGTTTAACCGACAGAACAGAAAGTTTCCTGAAAGTGTTTAGAAAAAAAGTATAAGACGTAGAGACTAGAACACACACACACGGACCTGGTTTAGTCCTGGTTTAGACCTGGTTTAGACCTGGTTTGGACCTGGTTTGGACCTGGTTTGGACCTGGTTTGGACCTGGTTTAGACCTGGTTTAGACCTGGTTTAGACCTGGTTTAGTCTGAGTTTAGACCTGGTTTAGAGCTGGTATAGACCTGGTTTGGTTTAGACCTGATTTAGACCTGCTTTAGACCTGGTTTAGTCCTGGTTTAGTCCTGGTTTAGACCTGGTTTAGTCCTGGTTTAGTCCTGGTTTAGACCTGGTTTAGACCTGGTTTAGACCTGGTTTAGTCCTGGTTTAGTCCTGGTTTAGTCCTGGTTTAGTCCTGGGTTTAGACCTGGTTTTAGACCTGGTTTAGACCTGGTTTAGTCCTGGTTTAGACCTGGTTTAGTCCTGGTTTAGTCCTGGTTTAGTCCTGGTTTGACCTGGTTTAGACCTGGTTTAGTCCTGGTTTAGTCCTGGTTTAGTCCTGGTTTAGTCCTGGTTTAGACCTGGTTTTAGACCTGGTTTAGTCCTGGTTTAGACCTGGTTTAGTCCTGGTTTAGTCCTGGTTTAGACCTGGTTTAGACCTGGTTTAGTCCTGGTTTAGTCCTGGTTTAGTCCTGGTTTAGTCCTGGTTTAGACCTGGTTTAGTCCTGGTTTAGACCTGGTTTAGTCCTGGTTTAGTCCTGGTTTAGACCTGGTTTAGTCCTGGTTTGTTTAGTCCTGGTTTAGTCCTGGTTTAGTCCTGGTTTAGTCCTGGTTTAGACCTGGTTTAGTCCTGGTTTAGTCCTGGTTTAGTCCTGGTTTAGTCCTGGTTTAGACCTGGTTTAGACCTGGTTTAGTCCTGGTTTAGTCCTGGTTCACTGAGGGTCACAGTTCTTTAAAAAGATAAATTTCTACCATTTAATGTTGAAAATGACAGGAGCTTGTCTAAAGAAAGAGGATTTTTAGTTTTTTTTTATATTTATATTGTTTGTTCTCTGTCACCTGCTCGTTTCTATGGATACATCATCGCTCTGTCTGGAATGTTCCGCAGTGTGACTTTAAACAGCTCCACTTTACATTTACTCACTCACAGGTGCAGAGTTTTACAGCTCAAAAATCCCAAGAAAAACCGACATTGTGAGTGTGAGCGGAGTCGCCTCTCCACAGATCTGACCTGGAACTCGGTCCTGGTTTGGTCTCCGTGAAAATACAAAGGTTTAAAGCCACACTGCGGAACATTCCAGACCAAGAAATAACAATAATGTCCGCGGAGAGAAGCGTTTTGAAATGAACTTCCGAGATAAATACGATTTCTTTTTTTTTTTTTTTTTCCGAATCATCGACGGAGCTCGACCGAAACCGAACTCGAAACGGCGAAAAAGGACGAAAGACGCCGTTTAAATCGGAACGGAACAGAACAGAACAGAACAGAACAGAACGCTCTTCACTGTTGCCAACGTTCACCTTTTGAGTTTTATCGACTTTTTAAGATGCAGAGGAAAAAAAAAAAAGCGGAATCTGCCGGAATCTGGGCTGGACTTGGTGGAACCGGATTCTGACCCGACGCCGACAAACGAAAGGCACTTTGGTTGGTTTTGCTGTTTCGCCCACAGAATTTATTTTGTTTTTTTGTATTTTTTTGTAAATATCAGTGATTATTATTTAGGGACCACTGTAGAATAAAGATGGAGAGTTGTTTTGCTTTGAGAAATGTGATTATTTTGAGTTTATTTAACCCAAAAAAACAAACTTATATTGAGTTTAAAGATTCTATATTTTATGATTTGAGTTTTTGAAGAACTTTTTGGTGGATGATCTTGACAAACTGAAAGTAATTTCAAGATTTCGTGACACAAAATGAGAAAAATGACTCATTAGTTTGCCATTGTTCTTCAGAAATCAGATTAACACACGCACCAAGAATCTGTTCGTAATCAACTTCAAACGATGAATTGGCATGAAATGTTTATTATTTTTGATCACAAATCTACAACAGGAAAAGTCGAGATGGAAATAGCAGCAGCATTTTTACACCGTGCAAAATAAAAATTCAAGTGTGAGGAGTTTGAAACTTCAGAGCCGAGAGACTTCAGTGACGACGAAACAAAGACTTCACATCAAGACCTGAGTCCAGACTTCTGGTTTGGTCCTGGTTTGGTCCTGGTTTGGTCCCGGTCTGGTCCTGGTCTAGGTCAGCGGTCCTTTGGTGCAGTAGAGCTGGTAAACCGTTCGACTCAGAGCTGGACCCAAGTTTCTGAAAATGAAAATAAAACAGATTTGAGTTTCACAGGCAGAAGAAGAATAAAGTTTTAACATGAACCGGCCACATTTCATTTTCCTCGTGCTTCTTAAGCCTGAAGAAAAATCAAATTCTGGCCATAAAACTATTTTAACTATAATAATAAGTGACACTTGAATATTTTTTTGTTTTTGCTTCATAGAAGTAAAAATCTAAATTGTAACAAACTGGTGCTGTGCAGATGAAGCCTCACGGTGTAACACTTCAACACTGTGTTGGTTTGTTCTGTAGCGCCATCTGGTGGGTTAAAAATGAACTGCAGAAGCTTTGACAGAACAGAACTCGATCATTCAGACACAAACACTCGATCTCCAACAAATGAAAGAACTGACCAAGAAGGCGACGCAAACTCATTAAAACAAATCACAGCTTTTGTACAATAAAATCAGCAAATGTGTGACACATGACGACGTGAATGTTTCTGAAAATGACACTAAAATGATAGTAAAATAATATATTTTTTTTCAGTAAATCTGTATTGAGCTGCACTTGGGTCTGATTAAACTGAGCCACACAGAACAGAGCTGTGTTCTGTTTCTGTTTCTCTGTGATGAACAGAGACACTGTGACAGATTTGAGCTCCTCATGTTTCGCTCCACACGAGCCTCAGCCGACACAAGACTCACCAAACCACACAGTCCATGTATCGGTCACATGACTTTTCGTAAAGTGACACACACACACACACACACACACACACACACACACACACACACACACACACACACTCGTGTCCACACCTCGACTCGTCCGTCACAGTCACAAACCTTTTGAGTTTTCCACATCGTATCGAAGACAGAAGTTTCTCTCGCTCCAGGTCGTTGGAGCATCTGTCGTACGCCGTCAGCAAACTGAAACCAACAGCAGATAAACACCAGACACTTTAAAAGGACAAACTGAGAGTGTGACGCTAACTGGAGGCACTGCTCTGTCTGAAACTCTGTCATTTTAATCTGAGTTTCATTTGAACTAGGGCCGGGCACCTTAACGAGTTAACTTTGCGTTAACTAATTAAGTCATTAACGCCGACAATTATTTTAACGCCGTTAACGCAGTTTTTAGTATAAATTTTTTTATTTTATTGTAAACGTCTGTTTCTCATTGGCTTTTATTTTGAAAAAGTCCACCGCGAGCGTTTCTTTAAGTTTGACGTCTTTTCTGGACACTTTTTTCTGACCACGTGAGATGCAACGTGCCCGAGCCTCCACGAGCCGCGGCTCCGGCTCTGAGCTGAGCTTGTTTCTTTAGTTCAGTGCTGGAGTCACTGATTTACCCAGATTCCACTGGAAGAAAAACTGTGATTGGTCCATTTCCATTCCATTATATTAACCCTTTGTTTCCTAAGAAATATCAGTCCAAGTTTATAACATTGATCTAGAAATTATTACTAGTGTCGTGTTCATTACTCACAGCATAAAAAATATTCAATAAATATATTAGTAAGTACAAACGTCCATTCAGTATTTTTTCTTGAGCCTTTACTGAACATCTTGAAGACTCTGAGGTTCCCCTGTGAAAGAAATACTGTTTGTACAACAAATGTTTGGCTCTTTCATTTACATTTCCAATAAAAGAGCAGCTATACTCTACTTTTTAATTCATTCATTGGTTTTGCGTATAACATGCGATTAATCGCTCGAACATGCAATTAAATTTTTTAATTTTTGCCCAATTTTAACACAATCTGACCTGAAAGAACTGATTAACCTGAACTACAACACGTCCCACTCAAATAATGTTACAGTAGTTGTAGTAATAGTACTTTACCTGTGAGGAGTGGGTAGTAGTAGTAGTAGTAGTAGTAGTAGTAGTAGTAGTAGTAGTAGTACTTGTAGTACTTTACCTGTGAGGAGTGGGATATTCTTGTATTATGGCGGCTGCTTTGTCTCCTGATAATCCGCTGATCTGCATGAGCTGACGAGCGAAAACCTCCCGAACCGTCTGACACTAAAACACAGAGAATCACCTTTATATTTATTTATGTTTTATTACATCTTTTTGTAGTACTTTTTATGTATTTGTCTCCTCTCCCTCCTCAGGAAATATTGGACTCGTGTGTTTTGTTTTTGTGTTTGTGTTTGTTTTTCTTCACCTTGTTCTTGACGGCGCCGTGGTTGAACTCGGCGAACGAAATCAACGAACACGAAGGATTCCCCGCGACGTCCTGGTCCTCGGAAAGATCTCCCTCCAGCTCCCGAGAGCGCGTCACCAGAGCACGATTCTGCACGAACGGAAAGGGGAGAAAAAGAACATCTGACCTTCTGACCTTCTGACCTTCCTGACCTCCTCCTCTCGTCTTTTCCTCTTTACCTTGTAGAGTTTGCTCAGGTATCTGGTCATGACGGTCAGATACGCGGCAGATTCTCTCACGTCCTGGACTCGCTTCACAAAAAACCCGTCCACCACCTGCAGCAAAAAAAAAAAAAAAAAAAAAACACATGAAAAAACACGGACTGTAGCTCCCTCTAGTGGACACACAGACACACACACCGTGAAACGAATCCAGACCAAGTAACAACATCTCCACGGAGAAAAGCGTTTGACGGAGCCTCCACCAGAAAAGTTACACAAAGCACCTTTGAACTTATTCGTCTAAATCAGGGGTGTCAAACATATGGCCCGGGGGCTGAATCCGGCCCTCCAAGACCTTTAATCTGGCCCTCGACTGATTTTCTACTAAAATATTTGAATGATATTTTCTGTTAAAATCTTGTTAATTTTCTGCGGTGCTGAGCAGAGCAGCGTCTCCAGCGTCTCTGTACGTGGCCCCTCCCACTGTCCCTCTGTCAGGTCGGCTCAAGAACCAAATTTTCTTGCATATATTTGAAAAAAAAAAATGCTCTTGCCCCAGTACAAACACATTATATAAGCAGCTCTGGAGGTCATAATAAGTCTGTCGTGTGTCTACATCTAATTATAATTATAATTTTACTTTCCAATAATCAGTTGTTTTGCAAGTCTCAAACAGCCTGATTCATCACACGGTTTTACTTTGTTTTACTTCGTACAAACCGTGACGTCACAGCGTTAGATTTCGTTTGCTCGATGGTACGCGGGTACTTTTTATCATTTAACCCAGGGGTGTCAAACATACGGCCCGGGGGCTGGATCCGGCCCTCCAAGACCTTTAATCTGGAACTCGGCTGATTTTCTACTAAAATATTTAATGATATTTTCTATTAAAATCTTGTTAATTTTCTGTGGTGTTTATCACAGCAGCGTCTCCAGCGTCTCTGTACGTGGCCCCTCCCACCAGAGCAGCACAAATGAAGACTTGTCTCTTTCCAAACGCTCTTAAAGGACGATCGTTTTGACTGTTGACCGTGACACCCTCATCAGAAAAATGTCCAACATGAGAAAAGTGGAGCCGAGTGCAGGATTTTACAAGAAAAATGGACTTATTCCTGTTTACAAACAAGTTCATGTTAAAAACTTTGTGTTGAAATTGTATTTTTTTTTTTTAAGTTTCAGGTTGTTCATAATATTATAATATTTTGTGAAAAGAAAGAGTTCATCAATTAAAAAAGATTTCTGTAATAGATTTGTGTTTCTCTGCACAAATATTTGAACTTATTGTTATTTTTGGGGTTTATATGACATGAGTTTTCTGATCCGGACACTTTGGGATCAAAGTCGGTTGGACACGACCCCGGAACAAAATGAGTTTGACTATGGACTATATCTTTCTCTCTCTCACCTGTGTGTTGACGACTAGACTCACCTGTGTGTTGACGACTAGACTCACCTGTGTGTTGACGACTAGACTCACCTGTGTGTTGACGACTAGACTCACCTGTGTGTTGACGACTAGACTCACCTGTGTGTTGACGACTAGACTCACCTGTGTGTTGACGACTAGACTCACCTGTGTGTTGACGACTAGACTCAACCTGTGTGTTGACGACTAGACTCACCTGTGTGTTTGACGACTAGACTCACCTGTGTGTTGACGACTAGACTCACCTGTGTGTGTGGTACGACTAGACTCACCTGTGTGTTGTAGACTAGACTCACCTGTGTGTTGTAGACTAGACTCACCTGTGTGTTGTAGACTCGACTCACCTGTGTGTTGACGACTCGACTCACCTGTGTGTTGACGACTCGACTCACCTGTGTGTTGACGATGGCCTGCTGCAGGGTGGACTCGACTCACCTGTGTGTTGACTCGACTCACCTGTGTGTTGACGATGGCCTGCTGCAGGGTGGACTCGACTCACCTGTGTGTTGACGACTCGACTCACCTGTGTGTTGACGATGGCCTGCTGCAGGGTGGACTCGACTCACCTGTGTGTTGACTCGACTCACCTGTGTGTTGACGATGGCCTGCTGCAGGGTGGACTCGACTCACCTGTGTGTTGACTCGACTCACCTGTGTGTTGACGATGGCCTGCTGCAGGGTGGACTCGACTCACCTGTGTGTTGACTCGACTCACCTGTGTGTTGACGATGGCCTGCTGCAGGGTGGACTCGACTCACCTGTGTGTTGACTCGACTCACCTGTGTGTTGACTCGACTCACCTGTGTGTTGACGATGGCCTGCTGCAGGGTGGACTCGACTCACCTGTGTGTTGACTCGACTCACCTGTGTGTTGACGATGGCCTGCTGCAGGGTGGACTCGACTCACCTGTGTGTTGACTCGACTCACCTGTGTGTTGACGATGGCCTGCTGCAGGGTGGACTCGACTCACCTGTGGTGTTGACTCGACTCACCTGTGTGTTGACTCGACTCACCTGTGTGTTGACGATGGCCTGCTGCAGGGTGGACTCGACTCACCTGTGTGTTGACTCGACTCACCTGTGTGTTGACTCGACTCACCTGTGTGTTGACGATGGCCTGCTGCAGGGTGGACTCGACTCACCTGTGTGTTGACTCGACTCACCTGTGTGTTGACTCGACTCACCTGTGTGTTGACGATGGCCTGCTGCAGGGTGGACTCGACTCACCTGTGTGTTGACTCGACTCACCTGTGTGTTGACTCGACTGACTGGCCTGCTGCAGGGTGGACTCGACTCACCTGTGTGACTTGACTCGACTCACCTGTGTGTTGACGATGGCCTGCTGCAGGGTGGACTCGACTCACCTGTGGTGTTGACTCGACTCACCTGTGTGTTGACTCGACTCACCTGTGTGTTGACGATGGCCTGCTGCAGGGTGGACTCGACTCACCTGTGTGTTGACTCGACTCACCTGTGTGTTGACGATGGCCTGCTGCAGGGTGGACTCAGGTAAACTGAGGTGAGCTGCGGCGGCTCCACACTCCTCCACCAGGTACACAGGCCTCCTCAGACCACAGCGCTTCAGACGGAACTGCACAAACCAACACGACAGCACAGTGAGAGGAAACAGCACAACTATTTATGTACGATTTATGAAAGAGGCCGATGGTGCAGACTGGCAGCCGCACCTCTGCCAGTCTGCCCCAGGGCAGCTGCGGCGACAGTGGGATCTTAACACCGCTGAGTGTGGAGTGAAAGAATAGAGCTGTAAAGAGCTCTGGGCGTCTGCACTGTGACTCCAATGATTCATTCATCTATTCATGACTCAGTTATGGGGTCGAGTCTGAGGAGGGACTCCCAGACTTCCTCACCCCAGACACTTCCTCCAGCTCCTCTGGTGGGACCTGAGGTGAGACATAAGCTGCGTTCAGACTGCAGCCTGAAGTGACCCAAATCAGATTTTTTGCCTCTATGTTCCTGTATCTGATCTTTTAATGTCAGTCTGAACCACACAGATCAGATTTTTTCAAATGTGACCCAGGACACTTGGATATGTGCTCCTGAAACTGATACATATCTGATCTTTAACATGTGACTTCAGTGTGAACGGACAAAGTGCATTCATCCACCTACACGTTATCAACAAGACACAAACGTCACTATTCTGCGCTGAAGTAGGAGAAAATTGTTAATGAACTCTGTGTGACTGAAGTGAAGCACATCTCCACTCACCACTCTTGGCTCCGTCTCCACATCCACACGTTCCTTTCAACGGACTGAACCACAAAACACCACGACCAAAAACCTCGTCCTTCTCCTTCTCAATCTCCTCCTTAAAACAAGTAAGTTGTTCATGTTCTGGCTCCGGTACGAGAGGAACTTTAAAATCTCCAGGTGCTCGATGCTGCGTCCATGTTTGGACAACTTCTGTAAACACAGAGACGCTCGCTGCGGTTGACGTCGTCGTGTCTCCAGTGTCACATGTGGGACACTTTTGGGCCGTTTAATGTTCACACTGGAGTCACATACAAGTCACATTTAACTGGAAATGTGAACGACCTCGAAAAAACATCGGATTTCACAAAAAAATCGGAATTGAGCGTTAAACCCTGCAGTCTGAACGTAGACTTAGTCCCTCCAGTGTGTCCTCCTCCTGGTGGGACATGAACACCTCCTGAGGGAGACGTCCAGGAGGCATCAGAAGAGACGTCCTCCCCTCAGACTCTCCTCTCCACGTGGAGGAGCAGCGGCTCTACTCTGAGCTCCTCCATGTGAGGAGGACAGAACTGATAATACTTTATTACATGAAAGTCGGGTGCGTCGTGTCCCTTTAAGAGCAGCTCTGTACCTTCTGTTCTCTGAATCGTCCGTCGATGATGCTGCCGCACAAATCGTCGATCCTCTTCCTCTCCACGATGTAATCGAGTACCAGCTCCCGGCCACACGGGGCCCTCAGCTGACCTACGAGCACAAACCAACACACAGATACATGAACTAGAAGCATTTAGTTTGATCTTGTCCCACAGCACAGAGTCTGCAGAATGATTTTGTTGACAGTATCGAGACAGAGTTGTTAAGAGTATTGTGACAGTATCTATGAGAGTTACTGTAATCCCACTCTGACCTGGCACTGGCTCCTTCTTCTCTCGGGCGACCCACAGGAAGTCGCCCACGTTTAACTTCCGCACGTCGAAGTTCACTCCGTTTCTCTGCAGCTCCTTCACCAGCTCCTGTTTACACTGGACGTTTCCCCCACTGAACAAACACACAAATACACGAGTTTCTATGAGCTCAGTGTGATCTGTGTCGCTGCGCTGGTCCCACAGAGACAGTTTAAACACACACAACAGTAACAACACAAGAATAATAAAAAAAAGCTCAAACTAAAGTCTCAGTTCAACAGGCGGAGTCACCGAATCTGTGTCAGCCCAGTGTGAGAGGAGAGTAACCACCCTCAGGACAAAAGTGTATGTGTACTGGATATTCTCTCTCCTTGCTCTCCATTCCCTCTGGAACATCTTCTGTCACATTCGGTGTAGAAAATCTGTAACATTTCAGAGCTCGAGGCAGGGTCGCCATGGATACAGGGGAAAAAAAAGCTCAAAGCACAAAATCCAATAGTCCTTAACGTCCCTCCTTTGAACTACACCGCTGCACTTCTTAGTTTCCAATTATTTAAGGTAAAAATTTAACATAAATGTAAAATAAATTAAATAAATTAATTAAATAATAATAATAAAATAATATAAATAAATAATAATAAAAATATAATAAATAATAATAAATAAAATAAAAATAAAAAATAAAATAAATAAATGAATAAATAATAAAATAAAATCAAACAGCTCAGTGTGCCAGCCAGTCAGCCACAAGAGCAGTCAACCACGACCATGGCAATAATTTCAAAATTTAAATAAAATTTAAAAAATAAAATAAAAATAAAACAAAAGAAACATGGAGACGGGGATGGATGTACTTTGGCCTACTTTTTTTTTTTTTTTTAATACAGATTTTGTTTATGAAAAATGTTGGGAGAGAAGAGCTTTGTGCATTTGTGGAGAAAAAGACGTTTTACTGGATTTAAGTTAAGATTTCTGGGATCGCGCTCACTTCCGCTCGTCGTCTTACCCCGTGGTCTCGATGAAGTCCACGCACAGAAGGATCTCGTAGGACCCGGGAAGCAGGCACCGGTCCGGGTCTTTGGGCTGGAGGTCCCGGGGTCTGGGCTCTGGAGCTGCACCGGGTTTGTCTGCGGCGCTAAAACGAAAAAAAGAAACAGAGGACAGCGGTTTCATTTCACGGAGCGGTCGGTCGTGTATATATTTTTTTTACTTTTCATTTTAAACTCACGTCACTTCATCTTCAGTCTCCTCTTCGTCGCTCTGAGTCAGATCCAGCGCCTCCTCGTCCTCCTCTGCTGCGTCTGCGTCTCTGTGTGGGACCTTCTCTCCTCCTCCTCCTCTCTCTTCCTCCTTTCCTTTATGACCCTCTCCTCCTCCTCCTCCTCCTCGTCTCTCCGCTGAGTCCAGACGCTCGGCCAAAGCCTTCCCCTCGTCCGTCAAAGAATATCTGAAAAAAAGAGATAAATCCAGAATGTTCAAACTGACACTGCACTTATTATCATTATGATTTAACAGTTCTGAATTAAACAGTTCGTAATTAAAATATTCTCCTTGGAGTTTACATGGAAATAATAATGTTGAATTGTTGTTTCCGTGTTAAACTGCTTAAACAGAATTCATTTTTATTCAGAAATTAATTATTTTTATTCAGAATTAAACGTGGCAAATGTAACTTACGGGGTTATTTTACTTCTCTGGGTTTTTAACTGTAGCATATTTAGGTCACCATGTTCCTTTTTTTGTTTTGAAAATGTTATATTCGCCCAAAATCGCCACTTTTGTTTTTGACGCTCAGAGTCTCAGCTCCCCTTGCTCTCTGCGCCGAGTCACTCCCCCTCCAGAGAGCCGTCACAGCACCGTCGGCGTCCGCGATCCTCTGACGAAACCCCCGCGAACAACAAACGTGGAGGTTTGATGTTCACTTTTTCGGAGGATCGTTCCCAGTATGAATTGCGCCATGACCGGAACTTCGAAATTTGTGATGCATGTATAGGGCTTAGGAGAGATCGCTAAATGCCTCAAACATGTATGGATGACATGTAAAACCTTTCAGACATGTTTTTGATGAAGGAACAATGTTATAAAATGGAACAAAGTCTTGATTTTGCTTAGTACGTCCTCTTTAAAGGTTGTATGGAGGATTTTTTTTGTTTCAAATTGTCAGTGATAGATTATAGAGGTGCAGTCGCCTTGTAATTATGATGACCAAAAAAAAGAGAATAAAAATTCATCAACTCTGGACGTGGTGGGGCTAAACATTTGCCAATAGATAACGACACTGCCTCGTTATCTGTGAGCTGACAGGCTGTCAATCAAACTCCCTACGTTTCTAGTGTAACTGACTTGCCTGCGCCGCCGGTACGTGGTTTACGTACGACTGTCACGCAGTCCACAGACGCAAGACGCACAGACGCTGTTTACTCCACCAACGCAACAGTTCTTAGCGGCTTTTTTTTACCTATATCTTCCTCGCAGTTCGCACAAAGTTTGTTGCAATGGCGACAAGAATCCAGGAGCAGTTCGCCGCAAAAGAAAGTCCGTTTTTGAGGTCGCTGAAAGAAGAAGACAAGAGGAAAAGCAGCGAAGCCAAACTAAGGTGATTCTTGAGATTCATTCCAGCGATGGCGCGCGACTGAAGCAGACGAAGGGTCTAAAGACTGACGCACTGGTCCACAAATTACTCCTGGACAGGAAACTTCTGCTTATTATGAAAACGTACTTTATTTCCAAGAGCTAGACAAACGTTTTTCAGGACACGAAAGCGATATCCTATGTCTGAAAACGTAATTTTCAGTGCAAAGAAAGAGTCCGCTTGCTGCTGCGTGTTGTAGCTAGTTCATTCGCACTGAATCTCCGCGCACTCTTCTCTGCACCCCTTTCCTGCTCCTGTCCCCGCTGCCCGATCCGCTCTTCCCCCTGCTCCTCACTTCTCCGGGCACGGAATCTCCGCGCACCCCCTCCCCTCTCCTCTCTCCTCTCTCCCTGCTCCCTGCTCCGCTCTTCTCCCTGCTCCTCACTTCTTGTCCGCGCACGAAATGTCCGCACACCCGCTCCCCCGCTCCTCACTTCTCCGTCTTGCCTAACCAACACTGTAGTTAGTTGTTTACAAGTCATGTGCAGCACCGGCTGTAAACAAACCTGTTTCTGGCGTAAGGAGGAGGAGGGAGGAGGCGTTTCTACGTAGCAACATTTGAAAAAGGACAAACAGTCGCTGGATTTCTCGTTCCTTGGAAAATCCTCTATACAACCTTTAAGTTGTACATGGTGTTGTGTTGTTGTACCTTGCAGGGTTGTGAGTCTTGAGGAGCAGATTCTTCTGGATCAGAGTACTGACCGAGGACCAGGCCGTGTACTTACTGCCCAGATCAGGCTACAACAAGTAAACACACAGAGAGAAAGAGAAAAAGAGTGAGAGAGATCGCAAGAGGAGAGGTATTGTATTTTTCGGACTATAAGTGTCACTTTTTTTCATGGTTTGGGTGTTTCCTGTGACTTATTCTCCGGTACGACCAGTGTTGGGAAGGTGACGTTTAAAATGTAATCCCCTACAGATTACAGATTACATACCCCAAAATGTAGTTTGTAACGTAATCCATTAAATTACTTAAAGTGAGTAACGTAATCTGAATACTTTGGATTACTTGACTTGCTGTAGAGAAGCAAAGACCACATCTTCACATGAGATGTTTTGTCTGATAAAAGACATCGGCATGGTTTAGTCCTGTTAAATCCTGTTTTAGTCCTGGTTAGTCCTGGTTTAGTCCTGTTTTAATCCTGTTTTAGTCCTGTTTAGTCCTGTTTTAGTCCTGGTTTAGTCCTGTTAAATCCTGTTTTAGTCCTGGTTTAGTCCTGTTAAATCCTGTTTAGTCCTGGTTTAGTCCTGGTTTAGTCCTGTTAAATCCTGTTTTAGTCCTGGTTTAGTCCTGGTTTAGTCCTGTTAAATCCTGTTTTAGTCCTGGTTTAGTCCTGTTTTCCTGTTTTAGTCCTGTTTAGTCCTGGTTGGTTAGTCCTGGTTTACCTGGTTTGGACTTGGTTTGGACCTGGTTTGGACCTGGTTTGGACCTGGTTTAGACCTGGGTTTGGACCTGGGTTTGGACCTGGTTTAGACCTGGTTTGGACCTGGTTTAGACCTGGTTTGGACCTGGTTTGGACCTGGTTTGGACCTGGGTTTGGACCTGGTTTGGACCTGGTTTAGACCTGGGTTTGGACCTGGTTTAGACCTGGGTTTGACCTGGTTTAGACCTGGTTTGGACCTGGTTTGGACCTGGTTTGGACCTGGTTTAGACCTGGTTTGGACCTGGTTTGGACCTGGGTTTGGACCTGGTTTGGACCTGGTTTGGACCTGGTTTGGTTTGGACCTGGTTTGGACCTGGTTTGGACCTGGTTTTAGACCTGGTTTAGACCTTGGTTTGGACCTGGTTTGGACCTGGTTTAGACTTGGTTTGGACCTGGTTTAGACCTGGGTTTGACCTGGTTTAGACTTGGTTTGGACCTGGTTTGGACCCGGTTTAGTGTCCGGCAATGAGTGGAATTACTGGAAAAAAAAGAAAAAAAAAAAAAGGGATATAGCCCAAAATGTGAAAATACCGTCATGTAATCCATTTATTTCACCAAAGTAACTGTAATCCAATTACCACTCACTGAAACAGTAACTGTAACTGAATACAGTTACTCATAATTTGTACTCTGATTACGTAACTCCAGTACTTGTAATCTGTTACTCCCCAACTCTGGGTACGACTTATATATTAAAATTTTTAGACTGACAATTTTTTTAGACACAAGAGGCTCTAGGCTTGTGTGTCAGTTTTCTGCGCATGTCTCCTGCAGAAAGAGCCTCTGTCCTGCTGCGAGTCGTGAAATCTGCAGCAGGAAACAGTAATCGAGCAGCGAGAAACTTGAATTCAGTAAATTCAGTGGGTTTAGTGATTTGGAGTGAGATGGAGAGTTTGGTTAAACCTGTTCTGTTCTGTTATTTATGTTATAGTTTATCTGAAGAACTGTTCATATTTAGGCCTGTAACGGAAACAAATTTTGCTGGATGATTAATTAACCAAGAATTTATTGCGATAAACGATAATATTGACATTTTGAGACCAATTTCAACTAATATAATGACCATGGAATAAAAATGCAAATACACTCTTTCAAAGATCAATAAACGAACGAACATTTAACACAGGAAGTGTAAGACAAACAAAAACAACAGGCCTAAATAAAACAGACTTGTTCACATAAGAATATCCTCATGTGTCTGACTCACAGCGAGGACTTGTCCACAAAAATGCACTTGAATAAACCACTGTTGAACCAAACACAACCAAAACATTAAATAAAATTGATTATTAAGTCTCTGTAACAAAATTGTCCTTAAAAGTGATTTTAGTCACTGATTTACATTGGAATATTGTGTCTCGTCTCTGTGGCTGCTGCTGTGAGACTCGACATTTTGGTCATTTAAATGTTCGTTTTAACCCGCGACACAGGATGTTATTTAGTTATGACGGAGCCTCTGTTCTGTCTGGTGTCATGTCGGTGTCTTGTGGGATTTCAGTGGATTTCGGTCTTTCTCGGGGGCGGGGCTTGTTCTGTCGCTCGGGTTTGGGTTTATATCGGCTGTTGGGGTTTGAGACGTTTCTTCTCGTCGTTTGCGTTTCGCTGCATTTGACGCACGAGGCTGTTGAGACGTGTGACACTCACCGGTGTTGATTCGACATCGTGACTTGTTTTGTCGCTCGGAGATGAACTGTTTTGGTTCTGACAGCGGCGCTTTCAGTCTACGCGCATCCGCTGTGTCGATAAACTCAGCGCACGTTGGTTCAAATGTCATTACACTTGTTAAAAAAGACGAGTCAGAGCGACAGAAGCTTCTAACATTCAGTCTCTGAGAGCGAGAGAGAGCGAGGAAAACAAATAAACATGCAAACAGAATTTATCGCGACCGGAAAAGTTATCGAGCTCGTTAAAAGTTATCGTACGATTAATTGATTTATTGATTATCGTTACAGGCCTGCTCATATGTGACGTTAACAGTCTGTTGTTCTCTTCTATTGTTACCTCCGCCAAGGAGGTTATGTTTTTGCCGGCGTTTGTTTGTTTGTTTGTTTGTCTGTTTGTTTGTTTGTTTGTTTGTTTGTTTGTTTGTTTGTTTGTTAGCAACATAACTCAAAAAGTTATGGACCGATTTTGATGAAATTTTCAGGATTTGTTGGAAATGTGAAAAGGAAGAACTGATTTCATTTTGGGGGTGATCCGGAAGAAATCCTGGATTCTGGATCACTTTGAAATTTTAGTTAACATTGTGGTAAATGGGGCCAAAAATTTTGTTTCTCAATATCTCGGTTAATTATTGACCAAACCCCATGAAATTTGACTCAGGGATGGACAATGGGATCCTCTTTCATATTCCAAAGGCTGATCCGGATCTGATCCAGAAGACTGATTTTATCGCAGTTTATATAAAAAATGGGGGTAGTCCTTGGCGGAGGTCTGCGCTCTCTGACTGCTTTTCTAGTTTTTATTACAACTTGACTTTACACAGGAAATGTCTGCTCCTGCTCTGATTTTATAAAATATATTTCCCCCTAAAAGTGCGACTTATATATGTTTTTTCTTCTTCATTACACATTTTTCGGCTGATGCGACTTAGACTCCGGAGCCACTTAAAGTCCGAAAAAATATATAATTTAAGTGAGTGTTAGGGTTTGATTTTTGATACTTTTGACAACCCCCGCTGTGTAACTTCTTGTTTTTTTGACAGACCTCCACCAGAAAAGTTACACAATGCAGCTTTAAGTAGTTGCAGGATATTTATAAGACCGTGTGTTCTGGGTTCTTACCACAGAGAAAGATTTGTCACACAGCGGCTGGGCCTCCGTCTGTAACTCCAGTTTGAACATGTAACCTTTGCTGCCCTCCACCTGAAGGAAAAAAGCCGAGGGCCAGATTAAAGGTCTTGGAGGGCCAGATGTTTGACACCCCTGTTGGTTGATGGATGGTTTGAGTTCCTGACCTGACAGTGGCGGTACAGAGCCAGAAGAACAGCGTATCCTCCTGATCTTTTCTGAGGAACGTACTCTCTCTTCTTCTTCCTCCGTTCTCCTCCTCCTCCTTTCTCCGACTCACCATTGGACGGGACACTTTTCTGCGAAAGACAAAATATTTTTCACAATCCAACCCTCAGAATCAGACGTGTGTTTTTTTGGTAAATTAGTTTGCGTTTTGTTTAATTGTCTGTATAAATCAGTCAGTTCCTTTTTACCTTCTTGGTTGGGGCCAGGTTGTTGTTGTCAAATCGAACAGCAGGGGGAGCTGTTTCTGGTAAAATGTGAATAGAAGCGTCTGGGCCTGAAAACAGAGAAAAGTAAACAGAGAATTTTACTTCTATATTTGTCAAAATTATACGTTCAAATAATCAGGAAATTTGATTATTAGTAATATTGTGGTCCTACGTTACGCAAAACTGACTCTTATGAGCTTTAAGTCGTATTATAAAGTTGTTATCTCTTCAAAATCAGAGCTGGAGTTGTGTTTTGTTTCATTCACATGTTTGAGTGACTCTTTATTATGAGTCTGTCTACATTTCCAAAGCTCCAAATGTTCTGTTCCTCCTTGTGATGTCATGAAGTGGTAGTTTTTAAGTGAACAGCTCCTTTTTTTTTACCTTTAGTTCAGTAGAGTTCAACAATTCTAGAGCTGAAATGATCCAAATGATTCTAGTGAAGGTCTGTGGAGTTTAAAAACACAGTGGAGCACTTCCTGTATCACCACATGATGACATCACAAGGTGGAACAAGGAGTGTTTTCTGTTTGGGAGGAGAAATAAGAAACCTAAATGTGCAGGGTTTGTGAGTGAAACATGTGGGAATGAAACTAAACTCAACTCCAGTGTGTCTGTTTGTGACGAGGAAACGACGTTAGAACAAATCAGAAAATTATATAATCAGTCACAATCATGATTTTTGTTGAAAATCAAACTCCTGAACAGGACCGTGAACGCCCGCACTGATCACACGCTCCTGAAAATGTGCTGTTTGAATCTATTTCGGCAGTGATGCGGTCGGACTGCTGTGGTGAAGAGGAGCTGAGTCTGGATTTATCATCAGTCTCCGTTCCTCCCCTCACCTCTGGTCATGAGCTCTGATCATGACCGAAAGAAAGAGATCACGATACAAGCGACACAAATGAGTTTCCTCCGCAGGGCGTCTGGGCGCTCCCTTAGAGACAGAGTGAGGAGCTCAGTCACACGGGAGGAGCTCGGAGTAGAGCCACTGCTCCTCCACATCGAGAGGAGCGTCTGAGGAGAGGACGTCTGTTCTGATGTCTCCTGGACGTCTCCCTCAGGTGTTCATGTCCCACCGGGAGGAGACCCAGGACACACTGGAGGTACTATGTCTCTCGGCTGGCCTGGGAACACCTCAGCGTCCCCCCATAGGACCTGGAGGAAGTGTCTGGGGTGAAGGAAGTCTGGGAATCCCTACTTAGACTGCTGCCCCCACGGGCCACGGATAAGAGGAAGAAAATGAATAGACAGATGGAATCTTTTTCATATTTTCTATAGTTCTATGTTTTCACACAATCTTAATTTTTTTGCAGTGTTTGATAATATGTAACATTGAACATTGCACCATAGACATACATGCAGAGCACCCCCAGCCCGATGTCACCGCAGAGTTAAGTCCACCCAGACCGTACCGTGCTGTCTGTAGTATTTCTGCAGTCGGTCGTCCAGCAGTTTGCAGATCCCGTCTCCAAAGTTCTGCAGGATTTTTGCTTCTTTGGCGTTTTTCAGCGGCAGTGGGTATTTGTTCAGAGAGTTTATGGCCTGGAAGAAAAAAAAAAAAAACGGTTGGTAATAATAATAATTGTGAAACGAGTAATTAAGGAAAACTGTTCTGCACTCTGCCCTTTCATGACTAATATGTGAGTCAGTACAGTCACATTTTCTTTGTGTTTTGGTCGTTTTTTAAGCAGCTTTTCTGTATTTTACCAAAATAAATGACAGTTTATGTCTCTCTTTACTGTTGGCAGGGATCAAATTGGTCAAAAATAGGGACATTTCTTGAATAAAACTGGGACAAATCACTGGTTTTGTATAAATCTGCAGGGACAGGGGACACAGAGAAAATAACAAAGAGAAAAAAAAAAATCTATTTCACCAAATAAAGTCATTAGCAGTTAGAAAACCCCGAAAATCTGTCATAAGCACCGTACACGCACCTTCTGGTAGGTGTAGTGGATCTTGAGGCCCTTCTCTTTGGCGTCGTCCCGGAGTTCCGTGAGCCACTGGAGGAACAGCGGGTTCGGGCAGGACGGTACCGGTCTCTTCCGCCCCAAACGAACCGGCTCCGGGGCGGGCATCACTCTGCCTCTGAGCAACACACAAGAGCTTTTACTTATGACTTAACAACCGTGTCAAAGCTTGGACTGACTCAGTGCACTTCAAAAAACAATATAAAAATCAAATCTTCATCTTCATTCATTGACTTCACAAATAAACCACGACTATGAAGTAAACACACGCTTTTCTTTAATATAAACGATACATTTTCTTCTTTGTCATTATTATTAGTTTGTTCGACCATAAACGAAAACCAAAATCTTTACTTTTTTCATTCTTATTACTGTTTACTTTGTACGATCATTTAAAAAAAAATATATATATATATATATATATATATTTATTCTCATTTTGCTCATTTTGATATGATCATAAACAATAACCTTCTGTGCCTTCTTTATCATTATTATTAGTTTGTACGACCATAATACAGTACAAAACAAAAAAAGAAAGAAATTGGGTTAAAATTATATTTTAGGGAAGCCCTGAGAGGCAAGAGAAAAAAAAAGAAAAAGAGGTAGGTCATTTGGGCTCTATTTTCTAAGTGTTTTTTGTTTTTGTTTTTTTTCACCAACTCAAAAAATAAATACATTTTTTTCTTAAAAAATAAATAAAATAAAAAATTCTACAATGTTTTTTCTACAATTTTTTTTTGTAGAAAAAAATGTATTTATTTTTTGAGTTGGTGAAAAAAATAATTATATTTTTGCTTATTTTATTATTCATTTTGCTTAGTTTGATACGATCATAAACAATAAACTTCTGTGCTGTTCTGTTCTTTATCATTATTATAGTTTGTACGACCATAATACAGCTCTATTTTCTAAGTGTTTTTTTTTTTTTCACCAACTCAAAAAATAAATACATTTTTTTTCTACAAAAATAAATAAATAAATAAAAATTCTAAAACAAACCAAAAAAAATTCAAAAAATTTTTTTTTTTACTTTTTTTTTGTAGAAAAAAAATGTATTTATTTTTTGAGTTGGTAAAAAAAAAAAAACACTTAGAAAACAGAGCCCAAATTACCTGCCTCTTTTTTTCTCTCTTGCCTCTCAAGGCTTCCGTAATCTTTAGTATGCATAGTATGTAAATTATTTTTGCTATATGTAAATATTTGCAAAGTTTTGTGATCCATGTCCAGAAAAAAAACACAGAATTTTTTAATTTTTTTTTTTAAAACTCAGTCATCAATAGGTTTGGGTTATTATATGTTGTTGGAACAAACTCGAAATAAAAACGAATCAATGAATCAATTTACAGCGATCCAAAGAGAAAAGTGGAACAATGTGGATACGCAAAAAAACACCAACTTTTAGCCACTTAGCTCGATAGCAGGTCACTTTGGCACAATAAAACGACATTTAGCATCAAATCAAGAACATAAACTTAATCGACATGAGTTTAAGTAAATATAAGGGACGTAATAAAAGCATTTAGTGTAAAAACAGCCACAAAACTCACCTGTAAACGGAGCCGCAGCACAAAGAGGAAGCGCCGCGTTTTTGAAAGTTTTTGTTGACATCAGACACGTGACCGGAACAAGATGGCGACCCGGAAAGTAAATAAACCGTCACCTAGCAACCACGGAACTGTCCCAGCTAGCGACGGACTAGCTTTTGTTTTATTTTATTTATTTATTTTATACTTTTCATTTATATAATTTATAATGTCGATAGGCTGGCTTTATGTAATGTATTTAATTTGGGTTAAATGCTGATAAAAAAAATAAACATTTTACATTGTCCGGTCAAGATTCACTCGTCCTTATCTGTATAACCTTTCTGTTGAATTTAGCTCTCCTTTTTTAACAAATGTTTAAAATATCATGCCTCATCTACAAAGTACTAGTATAAATAAATGATTAATTATATTTTTGGTCGACTTAAGGTGACCAGATTTTGAAAATAAAAAACTGGGACATCCCCGCGGTTTTTGGTGGTTGGTAATAATAAATAATATTTTACCTAAACAAATGACAGTTTATGCCTTTCTTTGCTGTTGGCAGGGATCAAACTGGTCAAAAATAGGGACACCTGGGACATTTCTTGTATAAAACTGGGATAAATCACTGGTTTTAACTCTCTTTATTCTTGAAAGTGGCTTTGGCTACACTATACTTTTATTTTGGCTTTCTATAAATCACTCAAATTGTTCCAAATATGTTACAATAATTATGCTTATATCCTTAACCCGGGCTGTCTGTTGATACTTGACAGTGATATCGCGCTGGGGGTTTTCTACATGCATCTGATGATGGAATATTCAGCAGTTCTCGCTAAGGCTGGTATCGTTAAGAAGTTTTGTTTGTTTGTTTGTTTGTTTTTTATTTATAATTTGTCAAATTTAAGGGGTTGGATACCCAGCACATCCACAATAAGACAGACTTAACTAAACACACATACAAAAAAAATAAATAAATAGAAAATAAAATAAATACATAAAAATAAATAAATAAAATAAATAAGTAAATAATAATAATAATAATAATAATACAAAAAATAATTAATAAAAAAAAAGTAAATAATAATAATAATGATAATAATACAAAAAATAATAATAAATAAATAAATAAAATAAATAAGTAAATAATAATAATGATAATAAAAATGATGAAAATAATACAAATAAATAAAGGGGGGGGGTTAGGGACGGTGTGTGTAGTACAGAGAAGAAAGTTGTTGATACGATACACGCCTCGATTTAGAGCAATTTGGATTGGATTCAATACGGTCCAATAAAAAATAAAGGCAAAATCATGTGTGTGACACTAAAAGTCGTTGTTAGACCCAGTACCGTAGCTCTGTTGGGATAAATAACTAGGCTTAACTATTTTGTTTAATCACTTCTATGGTTCGTTATTGTATCGAGGTCATTTGAAGATGAGGGCTGTGATCACAGTTATGAGACTCATAGATACACGTCAAGATAAACGCATGATATTCCAATTTATCTAATAGCAAACTAATTAATCAGGACAAGAACCACTGATAGGGATGATGTCATGACTTGTTGGACAGATAAAACCCCCGGACGGAGTCTGATTGGACTGTGCGACAATACAGATCATTACAGATTATACAACCCAGAATGTAGTTTGTAACATAATCCATTATATTACTTAAAGTGAGTAATGTAATCTGAATACTTTGGATAATTTGATATTGTCGTGCTTTTTTAAAATGACATGGATTTAACGACCGCATCCTGAAAATTCTTGTTTGTTTTCTTCAAATTGTCTGTTGAGTTCAAGTCTCCACGAACAGACTTTTGTTTTACTGTAGAGAAACAAAGACGAGGATCTGAACATGAGAAGTTTTGTTTTATCTGCTAAAAGAAAATAAAAATAATGTTTAGACCTGGTTTAGTTCTGGTTTAGACCTGGTTTAGATCTAGTTTAGACCTGGTTTATATCTGGTTTAGTTCGGGTTTAGATCTAGTTTAGACCTGGTTTAGTCCTGGTTTAGACCTAGTTTAGACCTGGTTTAGTCCTGGTTTAGATTTAGTTTAGTCCTGGTTTAGACCTGGTTTAGTCCTGGTTTAGACCCGGTTTAGACCCGGTTTAGTCCTGGTTTAGACCTGGTTTAGACCTGGTTTAGTCCTGGTTTAGTCCTGGTTTAGTCCTGGTTTAGACCTGGTTTAGACCTGGTTTAGTTCTGGTTTAGACCTGGTTTAGACCTGTTTTAGTCCTGGATTAGTCCTGGTTCAGTCCTGGTTTAGACCTGGTTTAGTCCTGGTTTAGACCTGGTTTAGACCCGGTTTAGTCCTGGTTTAGACCTGGTTTAGACCTGGTTTAGTCCTGGTTTAGACCCGGTTTAGACCCGGTTTAGTCCTGGTTTAGACCTGGTTTAGTCCTGGTTTAGACCTGGTTTAGTCCTGGTTTAGACCTAGTTTAGTTCGGGTTTAGATCTAGTTTAGACCTGGTTTAGACCTGGTTTAGTCCTGGTTTAGCCCAAAATGTGAAAACAGTAAAATCCCTCTGTGTAATCCATTTATTTCAACAAAGTAACTGTAATCCAATTCCCACTCACTGAAACAGTAACTGTAACTGAATACAGTTACTCATCATTTGTACTCTGATTACTCCAGTACATGTAATCTGTTACTCCCCAACACTGAGTATAGTTTGTGTATAAAAGTCATTGTACAGGTGTAAACGTTGAGTATCTGCGTGGGAAAGTCGGACAGACTCCTTGTACATGTGTGACTTTCTAATATTGGATTAAGTAAATTATCTGGACTTTAATTTAGTTTCAAGTGTATTTGTATTTGTTGTTTTCCTCAACAGCTTCCAAAAAAGCTCCTCTCAAAAGTTCAGGCAGCATTCGGCCACAGCGGCGTTCGTTGGAGTCGTTCATCGTAGGCGTCTCTGGAATCTCCCCCTGGTCCTAGGTTTCCACATTTCCATCGCTCGGGGACGGATGACTCGCTTCGACTCTGGTTAGACGACTTCTTCTTGTGCAAAATTCTTTTAAAACACGCCCATTTTAATCATCGAAAATGTGAAATGTGTCGCATAAATGAGCTTCCTTCCTCTAAACAAACAAGAAAACTGTAGCTGTAACAAAATAATGTAGTAAAATATGCCAAAAAATACTCTTGTGACATATCGATACAGCAGCCCACGATGTCGATACTGTATCATCACATTAAACGATAAAACGATATATCAATATTTGTTTTTTGAGTTTCCTGGTCTTGTGAGTGTCCCTGTCGACCCGGTGTCCTCAGTTCAGTCTCCTGGATGAGAAACCAGGAGACTGAACTGGGTTTTTCTCAGAGTCTCCAGGATTCTGTGCCCTGCAGACACAAAATCCTGATTTCTGAAAACTGGAGCTGCACTGAGCATGTGCGAAATCAAGGAACAAAAACAGCAGGAGCAGCAACTTTATCAAAATGACTCAAACTCCTCTCAGGAATTTTAATATTATATATTTGTAAACAAAATAAAGCTGTCTATTGTTTACTCCAGAGCTGGAATCATTAAGAAGTACAGTGAGCTTTTGATTCAGTACGATATATTTCAAATTGATTCGATACGGTTCAATAAAAAATCATTTCTATATCGTGGCTGTGGTACTAAAAGTCTTTGTTAAACCACTTCTTCTTGTGCAAAGTTCAAATGAAACACAAACATTTTAATCCTTATAACAGTGAAAATGTCAAATGTGTCGCATAAACGAGTTTTCTTCCTCTGAACAAACAACAAAACTGTAGCTGTAACAAAATAATTTAGTAAAATATGACAAAAAATACTCTTGTGATACTCTTTAAATCACTTTTGTATATTTTCTTGAAGTTTTCAGACAGTCTTAACACTTTTTTTTATCTGTATTTGTTAATGTGCTTTGTGTCTCCGTGGTAACAAGGGGTGTGCAAAAATATTGAAATATCGATATCACATCGTTTAATGTGGTGAAACAGTATTGATATCGTGAGCTGTTGTATCGATATATCACAAGAGTATTTTTTGGTAAATTTTACAAAATTATTTTGTTCCTGCTACAGTTTTGTTGTTTGTTCAGAGGAAAGAAACTCATTTATGTGACACATTTGACATTTTCACCGTTTTGATGAGTAAAATATGATTAAGAAGTGGTTTAACAGAGACTTTTAGTACCACAGCCATGATTTAGAAATCATTTTTTATTGAACCGTATCGAATCAGTTTGAAATATATCGTATCAAATCGAAAGCTCGCTGTATCGAGATATTTATCGTATCGGCAACTTCTTAATGACACCAGCCCTGTATTAAACAGTAGACTGCTTTATTTTGTTTACAAATACACAATATTACTTAAAATTCCTGAGAGGAGTTTGAGTTGTTTTGATAAAGTTGCTGCTCCTGCTGTTTTTGTTCCTTGATTTCGCACATGCTCAGTGCAGCTCCAGTTTTCAGAAATCAGGATTCTGCGTCTACAGGCCACAAAATCCTGGAGACTCTGAGAAAAACCCAGTTCAGTCTCCTGGTTTCTCATCCAGGAGACTGAACTGAGGACACCGGGTCGACAGGGACACTCACAAGACCAGGAAACTCAAAAAACAAATATTGATCTATTCTGCGCTGAAGCAGGCAGAAACCGGAACTTTAAAATCTCCAGGTGCTCGATGCTGCGTCCATGTTTGATAAGATAAGATAAAATATGCCTTTATTAGTCCCACAGTGGGGAAATTCCAGTGTTGCAACGCACAATTTCAGAACAGCAGGAAAAGGTAACACAGATAATAAATAATAGCTTAAAATAATTTAAAAATAGACTTAAAAATAATTGCACATGGTTATGATTGACTGGTACATGTTCAGTGTTAGCAGTTTGGACAACTTCTGTAAACACAGAGACGCTCGCTGCGGTTGACGTCGTCGTGTCTCCAGTGTCACATGTGGGACACTTTCGGGCCGTTTAATGTTCACACTGGAGTCACACACAAGTCACATTTAACTGGAAATGTGAACGACCTCGAAAAAACATCGGATTTCACACAAAAAAATCGGAATTGAGCGTTAAGCCCTGCAGTCTGAACGTAGCCTAAGTGTCCTGGGTCACATTTGAAAAAATCGGATCTGTGTGGTTCAGACTGACATTAAAAGATCAGATACAGGAACATAGAGACAAAAAATCAGATTTGGGTCACTTCAGGTGCAGTCTGAACACAGCCTGAGTCAGCTGCTCGAACAAGAGTCTCCCTCCAGACACAACACTGGTCCTCACAGCTCATCAAACTGAAAGTTCCTAAGTCCAGGTCCTGTCTTGACCTCATGTCATGTTGATGCGCTGGAATTTGGCTCAAAGCTCACTTCAACTGGACTCCTTCATTTCTCTTTCTGCTTTTAAATGTAAACTGAAGGTCATTTTTAAAGACGTGTAAATGTTTTACTAATGAAACGAAAGGAGATTTTTAGAGACTGATGTAAATGTTTGTTTTATGTTTTAATGAATGATGTTGAGTGTCTAATTGTTTTAACTCCCCTTCCCCTGGCTGCTCTGGCGTGTCCAGGCCAACATTGTAAATAAGAATTTGTTCTTAATGTTTTGCCTGGTAAAATAAAGGTTAAATAAATAAAATATACAAAAGTGATTTAAAGAGCACATTTTCAGGAGCGTGTGATCATAATGCTGTTTATTTGATCTATTTTCAACCAAAATGTGAGAGTGACTCACTGAAAAAGCTTGTAACTATAATTTTCTGTGTGAGAGACTCAGCTCACCGTTTTTGTTCCAACTACATCAACTCGTCTTGGTCAGATTGCACTTAAAGCCAAACTCGAGTCACAGATCTTCAGAAAGCGCAGTGCCTCCGGTTAGCATCAGGCCCCAGTTTATGAACGTTGATGAGAAAGTATCAGTCAGAGTAGTAGTATTAGTAGAAGTAGTCAGGAGGAGGAGGAGGCGGCTGGATTCCTGCTCTCCTGGGTCTTTGTCGGGTCTTGTCGGGGTTTGTTGTCGGAGGAATCCGTGTTTTCGCCCGAGGCCCTGGAGCAAAAGCGCCGGAATAACGGTCTTCACTCCCCACGACGGCGAGGATTAGAGGGAGAGACGAGGAGCAGGGAGTGGAGCCGCTATTTACTCCGTGAAACTCGAAGCTGCTCAACTTCAACAGAAAATAGATTCCTGAATAATTCAAGTACCTGAATACTGGAATAAAAGGAAAAGTACCGTGAAATACCAAATAATATCCAGGGCGTTTATTTGTGTCAGTCGCTCAACAGACAGTGTCGAGGAGTAACAGATTACAAGTACCAGAGTTATGTAATCAGAGTACAAATGATGAGTAACTGTATTCAGTTACAGTTACTGTTTCAGTGAGTGGTAATTGGATTACAGTTACTTTGTTGAAATAAATGGATTACACAGAGGGATTTTCCTGTTTTCACATTCTGAAACACTTTTTTTTTTTTTTTTTTCAGTAATTCCACTCATTGCCGGACACTAAATCAGGTCTAAATCCAGGTCTAAACCAGGTCTAAACCAGGTCTAAACCAGGACTAAACCAGGACTAAAACCAGGTTAAAACCAGGACTAAAACCAGGTCTAAACCAGGTTTAAACCAGGTCTAAACCAGGACTAAAACCAGGACTAAAACCAGTAAACCAGGTCTAAAACCAGGTCTAAACCAGGACTAAACCAAGACTAAACCAGGACTAAAACCAGGTCTAAACTAGATCTAAACCAGGTCTAAACCAGGACTAAACCAAGACTAAACCAGGACTAAAACCAGGTCTAAACTAGATCTAAACTAGATCTAAACCAGGTCTAAACCAGGACTAAAACCAGGTCTAAACCAGGACTAAACCAGGACTAAAACCAGGTTAAAACCAGGACTAAAACCAGGTCTAAACTAGATCTAAACCAGGACTAAACCAGGATTTAACAGGACTAAACCCTGCTGTGTGGACGTGTCTCCTCGTCTTCTATCAATAATATTTTTAATACGGTAAACTTTCCTCGTCTTTGTTTCTCTACAGCAAATCAAGTAATCCAAAGTAATCAGATTACATTACTCACTTTAAGTCATTTAATGGATTCCATTACAAACTACATTCTGGGGTCTGTAATCTGTAATCTGTAGGGGAAAACATTTTAAAAGTCACCTTCCCAACACTGACAGAGAATAGAGCCGATCCACTCCGAGTCACATGACCAGACTGGTGTGGGCAGGACTGACCTGAAGTCAAACTGCTCCTGTCGCTGTAAACATCAGACTCACTGTGGTGTTGCTGCACTAATCATCAGATCTTGGTTAAATAAAGAACAAAAAACGGGAAATGTGAGTTTGAGCAGCTCCTGTGCTGGTTGAGTTGGCACAGGCGACTCTCTGTACAGACGTAGGTTAGTTCATTTGAAATGTTGCAACAAAATATTTACAGCGCGGAGAGTTTCTCACATTTGAAAGCGACTCCTGAATTACAGAAAGTAACTCGGCGTTTATTTGGAACCAGCGTTTATTTATCAATTGTTAAATGAAACTCTGCTGTTATTTAATGCAGCGGTGTCCAAACTTTTTTCATCAAGGGCCACAAATCTAAACCCAGATGAAGCAGAGGGTCGATCGAGAGACTGATGCTCAGTACAGTGAACAATTGAATATGTGCATGTTTAACACGTTAGAATGAGCCATCGGACTTTATTCACGCTAAGATCCTTAAAACCACAAACTAAATATTAAATATGAGCTTTATCAAAGTAGATTTTCAAAAAACTTGCAGTAAAAAGTTAATTTTTAATTGATGCAAGGTCATTTGCACCAATTCACCTGGAGCCTGAGGGCCAAGAAAAATCTGTCTGAGGGCCGCATCTGGCCCACAGGCCGTAGTTTGGACATGTTTGATTTAGTGTTTTACGGTATTTCACTTTGCTTTTGAGGTCTTATGCTTCAAATGTTTTGCTTTTTTAACATATAAAGATTTGTGCTGTTTAATAGAAACAATTAGGGCTGGTATCATTAAGAAACTGCCGATATAAAACACATATCTCCATACAGTGAGCTTTCGATTTGATACGATATATTTCAAATCAATTCGATATGGTTCAATAAAAATAAAGGCTAAATCGTGTCTGTGATACTGAAAAGTCTTTGTTAAATCACTTCTTCTTGTGCAAAGTTCATATGAAACACAAACATTTTACTCATCAAAACAGTGAAAATGTCAAATGTGTCGCATAAACGGGTTTCGTTCCTCTGAACAAACAACAAAACTGGAGCTGGAACAAAATAATTTAGTAAAATATGCCCAAAAAAATCCTCTTGGCGATACAGCAGCCCACGATATCGATCCTGTATCATCACATTAAATGATAAAACGATATATCGATATTTTGATATTTTTGCACAATTAAACCAATTTGTTTTTCTAACTCTTTGTGTTTGTACATTTGTTTGCTCACACTATGAACATGTTAAAAAATAAAACTTAAACAACTATTTAAAAATACTTTAAAAATGTCGTTAGCTTTTAGTAAACTTTTATCAACATTTTAAAACAATCAAAAAACACACAAACAAACATGCGAGTTGTTAGTGTAATATATTACCCCTTTAATATTTGATAGAAAAGTCTGTTTCCCACATCACAGAAACAGCCAAAGTTCCGTTTTTATATCACGTAATACAACATCTGGAGTAAAATCCCCTTTCCCTTCTGTACACACTGAATATTTACAATGACATACAACCAGTGTATGTACGAACGTGTCCACGAAAACAACAGACAAAAACACGAGGCGCGTACGACATTTGGAAAGATACAAGATCAAAAAAAAAAAAAAGTGTACCTTAATTTAAATACAAGTTAAAATATGTTACACGTTTTATCGTTTGGGCTTTGTTATGGCAATTCAAGTCAAGTTCTGTTGGAGATTTTGGCAATTTTTTACAATCTTTTCACATAAATGGCCACGTTTACATGATGTTTTTAAATTCTGAATTCATTGTTTTGAATTAAATGGTTCGGAATTAAAATATTCTCCTTGGAAGTAATAATTCCGAATTGAGGTTTAGGTGGAAAACTCCTTAAATCGTCTTCTATCCATTTAATTCCGCTCAATGTCCACACTTCAGCTTCTACCGGGTTTTTTGTCATCTCGGTTTGTCGTTTGGCCACGGACACAAACACCATCTAAACTTTTTTCGCAGTCGTTCCGATGATCTGCTCTTTTCATTATTTGTAGTTCTTACACCAGACTTATTAAAAAAATTGTTTCAGAATTATTTTTAACAAGAATAAACATGTTCGAGGAATAAATTAATTCGTCTGAAACATCTGAATAAACCCCCCGCTCACTCGGTGGGTGGTGTATACGAGGTCATTTTAAAGTGGAATTCATTTTTATTCGGAATTAAAGCTCTCATGTAAACGTGGCGAGTGTGACACGGCTCAACGTTCTGCTGCTGAGTTCAGATCGTGACAAAATCCCATAATGTGGCTTTAAATCTCTACTTGGCGACCAGTTGTTGATGGTTGAGCGAACGTTTGAGGGCGACTTTTAATAGAAAAAACTTTAAATAGAAAAAACTTTAAATAGAAGGTACAGTAAAAATCTCTGATCTGTGTGTGGAGCACAGGGATATAAATGTGTGAGGCTGTGATGGCGTCAGCTGTTTCCTGTCGACGCGTTTGGACTCGGTCTCGTTTGGACTCGGTCTCGTTTGGACTCGGTCTCGTTTGGACTCGGTCTCGTTTGGACTCGACTCGGTCGTTTGGACTCGGACTCGACTCGACTCGGACTCGACCGCGTTTTCGGACTCGGACTCGACTCGGTCTCGCTCGGACTCGTCTCGCCGACTCGACTCGCGTTTGGACTCGGTCTCGACTCGACCGTTTTGGACTCGACCGCATTTGGACTCGACTCGACTCGACTCGTTTTGGACTCGACTCGACCGTTTGGACTCGACCACGTTTGGACTCGGTTTGCTCTCGCCTCTCGGACTCGACTCGTCGTTTGGACTCGACTCGACTGTTTGGACTCGACCGTGGTCTTGGACTCTCGGTCTTGAAGGCTCTTGGATTTGAGTAATAAAATGGAGATAGATTTATAAAAACATTGATATATTTGTGCCAAAATAACTATAAAATCCAAATAAATGTCAAAAATGACAAAGATGGTCTCAATTTGGTCTCGATCTTGTCTCGGTCTCGACTCTCAGAGGTCTTGGTCTTGTCCTGGTCTCAGGACCCTGTGGTCTCAGACAGGTCTTGGAGTCGATTAGTTCGCTCTTGACTACAACACTAACTTCTAGTTTAGACACAAGTCCAAACTGTGTTATTATTATTATTATTATTATTATGTGTGAAATGTGGAGCAAACTTCAGATTCAGGATTTTTAAAGCATAAAAGATTAAAGTGGAGATAAAGTCGTGGGGAAGTCGAGTCACTGTCGCTGATCTGCAGCTTCAGGTCGATCCGTGCTCTGTGTGGATGTAAACAAACACACATGAGGAACTACTCCGGCCTTTTTACTTTTAAAAAAACGACGCAAACTGGATTCACAACGATGTTTTGTGGACTGGAGTCATTATTTGTGAAAGACAATTTTTATGGATAATGTGGCTGAGCTGCTGCACTTAAATTTACAACGTTACAAGAGGTGAGTAAAAATCTTCTCTTCACTATTTCCTGAGTTTGTATTTTGCGTCTCTGTGTCCTGACGCTCTGTTTTATCGACTGTTACTGTAGCTTTCCTCAAGGCTCCCCAACCCCCGTCGTCGTTTGGTCATTGGGTACCGGGTCGCGAAAACTCAAACCCCTCCCCCATACGCCGCGTGGGCCGTGCCTCCTCTAAACCAGAACTAAAACCAGGTCTAAACCAGGTTTGCATCTCCCTACGCCGCCGGTCCGTGAAAATATTGTCCCGAAAAGAGCACCCTTCCTTTTGTTTATGATCTGACAGTGACAAAGTCGGGTCACGCCTCCTCAAACCCGAGGAGAAGCGAATCGAATTTGCCCGATCGCCCAAATCGGCAAAGTAAAATAAAGTCAATTTGCGAAGTATCAATATTCAACAAAGTCTCAATATCCCGTCTGTTCACTGCCCGTTGGAGCCGGTGGTGTCGTCGCTCTCGCCCTCCTGCTCCCGCTGCCTCCTCGCCGCCGCCGCCATCTTGCCCTTGAGCAGAGCGCTGGCCGGGTGGAGGTTGTGGAGGTGGACCAGCAGCTCGTCCTGGGTGGAGGCGGTGTGGCCGCACTCCTCGCACACGTACAGCTTGTTCCGGCGTTCCTTGTAGGCGTACTTGAGCGTCACGCTGTGGATTTTCTTCATGTGGGATTCGAGCGAGCAGCGCTGGGTGAAGGCTTTATCGCACAGGCTGCACTTGTACGGGCGAACTCCTGCACACACAAATATCTAAATAAAATGTGGTTCAAAGATAAATATTCAATTATCTGGTCATATTTAAAGCCGCATACCTGTGTGCGTCCGGACGTGTCTCTTCAGGTCGAACGTGTCGTTGAATCCTTTTCCGCAGAAGCTGCACAGGTGCCTCTTCGTCTCATTGTGACATTTAACGTGACGATTCAACATCCGCTGGAACTGGAACGTCTTCTGACAAATCTACAACAAAAAGAAACAAGAAATCGTCGATCGGTCTGTTCATTTTTTTCTACAGTCCTAAAAGAAGTTCGTTTCTATGGAGACGCTGTTACATCAACAAGTGTCCCAAAGAATTTGACATTTCGCAGGCCAATAATTTTGGCAATTCTTGTTGAAATTAGGGCTGGGTATCATTAAGAAGTTGCCGATACGATACATACCTCGATACACAGGCCACGATACGATACATATCGATACAGTGCACTTTCGATTCGAAATATCGATTTTCAATAAAAAATAATACGATCGATGTGATACTAAATCTAAATCGATACGATTTTCAATAAAAAAATAAAGGCTGTGATACTAAAAGTCTTTTTTAAACCACTTCTTGTCCAAAGTTCATATGAAACACAAACATTTTAATCATCAAAACAGTAAAAATGTCAAATGTCTCGCATAAATGAGTTTCCTTTCACTCAGCAAACAACAAAACTGTAGCTCTGTAACAAAATAATTTAGTAAAACACACCTAAAAATACTCTTGGTGATATATCGATACAGCAGCCCACGATATCGATACTGTATCATCACATTAAACGACACGATATATCAATATTCCGATATTTTTGCACACCCCTAGTTGAAATAACCTCAAATTTGTATAAAAACAAATGAAAATTGTATATGGAATGTTTTATTTTTGTTGTGTTTTCAGGTTGAGTCGTTCTCTCCCAAACAGAATCATTTTGTGTCTTGAATCTGCTGCTCACACTCACCCAAGACTGTGCAGCTTCAACACAACATTTGGAAAAACTTCAACAACAAATTTGGACTTGGAACCAGAAATGTAAAGAGTTCGGCTGCTTCTGCACGACTAAACGATCTGGAGCAACATCAACATCAGAAGAGAAGGTCGAGCAAGTTCATGAAAAACTCTTGCAAAGCCTCAAGAGTCTGTAAGAAGAACAAGTTTGGAAACCCAGATTCCTCCAATGACAGTTTGGCGTAAACAGATCCTTTAGTCCTGCATAAACAGATAAACTCTTTACATTTTTGGCTTAAATTTGTTTTCCAGTTGGTGAAGTTTTTCCCAAATGTTGTGTTGAAGCTGCACAGTCTTGGGTGAGTGTGAGCAGCAGATTCAAGACACAAAATGATTCTGTTTTGGGAGAGAACGACTCAACCTGAAAACACAACAAAAATAAAACTTTACATTTTTCCAGTGTTTCAAATTCCAAATAAAAATTTCACTGCAAATATTTTCACAGATATTGCCTGGATCTTGGGTCTTTGCTGCAAATTTTTTCACTGCGAATTTTGACTTTTGAACACTTGTAACTGAATAAATGCAAGATGGATAAGTTTAATGCCACCATGAAAAAAAAAAAAAAAAAAAAAAAAAAATCAGATGATAGACCCTCCACCAGAAAAGTTACACAGTGCGCCTTTAAATATGCACTGAGTAACATTTCTAGTGGAGTTTTTTGGAATATTATAAAGGGTATAAACTTATTCCAATCGCAAGAAACACTAGACCTCACTGGACTCCATATCACAGAGTTTTATCATTATTATTTTTAATTTTTTTATTTCATATTATTTTATTTTATTCATTATTTATTTATTAATTATTTTTTTTTTATTATTATTATTATTATTTTTTATTTTTTTTTATTTATATATTTTTTATTTTTATTAGCAGTTCTGTAGATTTACCTGACAAGAGAAGAGGGGGGCGGACCCTGGGGCTGTCGTCTGGCTCTGATTGGTCGCTTTTGGCGGTGTGGTCTCTGTTTCCACGGCGATGAGCGATGTCACGGTCTGCGGCTGCGGCGGTGGCGGCGGCGGCGGTGGTGGCGACTGGTCGGAGGAGGGCAACTCGCCTGTCGTGACCTGGAAAATGTGAGTTAAAAGTTAGAAACTACAACCGAAATCAGAATCGTCGTTCACACTAATCCGATGGAAAACGGCTCCAGAGACGGAACGTTCTGGTGCCTCCAGCTCCCACGAATTCATGTTCGTACAGATCTGATCCAGCCCCATGTGGACGCCTGAAAACACTGATACTCTGACGTAGGAGCTCGAGTCTCGTTGTTATTGGACCACGTCACTGTGACTTGCTCCTTCCTGATTCGTTGGGTTCGTGACATCGATCATGTGACGATATTGTGGAAAACAGTTTAAATAAACCAGAGACAAACGGGAAACACGCTTGACATCTTCCTCGGCTCGAAATCGGCTGCTGCAACTTCAGACACGCTGCTCCACTTCCTTGTGTTTACCGCCCACGTGACGATGTGACGCCAGCCGAGTCATGTGACTTGCGTTTCAGGCAGTTTCGCGTTACTGTGTGGATCATGTCTGGACGCAAATCGTCCCCGATACAGTGATACGGTGATTCGTTTCAGTGTAAACTTAGACTTTAATCAGAGCTTTATTATAACACAATCGAACCAGAAAGAACTGAGTTTGGAACGACAACAGATGAGCTGATTTGTGTTGTTACACAAGTCCCTCACACATAAAATCACAGTGACATAAGCCAAATCTTCCAGTTAATCCTTTTAGGCTACGTTCAGACAGCAGCAATTCCGATTTTTTTGTGTGAAATCCGATGTTTTTTCGAGGTCGTTCACATTTCCAGTTAAATGTGACTTGTATGTGACTCCAGTGTGAACATTAAACGGCCCAAAAGTGTCCCACATGTGACACTGGAGACACGACGACGTCAACCGCAGCGAGCGTCTCTGTGTTTACAGAAGTTGTCCAAACATGGACGCAGCATCGAGCACCTGGAGATTTTAAAGTTCCTCTCGTACCGGAGCCAGAACATGAACAACTTACTTGTTTTAAGGAGGAGATTGAGAAGGAGAAGGACGAGGTTTTTGGTCGTGGTGTTTTGTGGTTCAGTCCGTTGAAAGGAACGTGTGGATGTGGAGACGGAGCCAAGAGTGGTGAGTGGAGATGTGCTTCACTTCAGTCACACAGAGTTCATTAACAATTTTCTCCTACTTCAGCGCAGAATAGTGACGTTTGTGTCTTGTTGATAACGTGTAGGTGGATGAATGCACTTTGTCCGTTCACACTGAAGTCACATGTTAAAGATCAGATATGTATCAGTTTCAGGAGCACATATCCAAGTGTCCTGGGTCACATTTGAAAAAATCTGATCTGTGTGGTTCAGACTGACATTAAAAGATCAGATACAGGAACATAGAGGCCAAAAAATCGGATTTGGGTCACTTCAGGTGCAGTGTGAACGCAGCCTTAGTTGAAACACAAACTCCTGAACAGAACCATGAAAACTTGCACTGATCACTGGGAAATTAAAATGTGCTCTTTAAATCCATTTTGTTCAATTTTTTCTTGAATTTTCAGATGATCTTAACACTTTTTTGCCTGTTTGCAAATGTGTGCGTGGTGTCACCATGGTAACCGCTGAACATTCCACCATCGAGACACATGTACCAGTGTCCACAGTTGCCGTTCCGTGATCCTCACCTTGATTTTGGAGCGTACGTAGGAGCTGCCGCTGTGCTGGGCTCTGCGGCGGCCCTCCCCCCTCTCCGCGCCGCTCGGGGCGTCCTGCGGGGGGCGCCCCAACACGGTGCTGGACGGTAACTCCGCCGTGGCGAAGGACGACTCGGAGACGGGGGGTTTGGTGAGACACAAGGGGGCGCTCTCCGCCGCCTCCGCCTCCATCATCAGAGCCGACGACGGGAAGATCGACACTGGAAGCACAAGAGACGAGAGATTTAGATTTTAACGACAGATTAAAAGTCTTAAAGAAAAACTACACCACATGGGCCCAAAACCAGGTCTAAACCAGGTCTAAACCAGGACTAAACCAGGTCTAAACCAGGTCTAAACCAGGACTAAACCAGGATTAAACCAGGTCTAAACCAGGACTAAACCAGGACTAAACCAGGACTAAACCAGGACTAAACCAGGACTAAACCAGGACTAAAACCAGGACTAAACCAGGACTAAACAGGTCTAAACCAGGACTAAACCAGGACTAAACCAGGTCTAAACCAGGACTAAACCAGGTCTAAACCAGGACTAAACCAGGACTAAACCAGGTCTAAACCAGGACTAAACTAAACAGGACTAAACCAGGACTAAACCAGGTCTAAACCAGGTCTAAACCAGGTCTAAACCAGGACTAAACCAGGACTAAACCAGGACTAAACCAGGACTAAAGGTCTAAACCAGGACTAAACCAAACCTAAACCAGGATCTAAACCAGGACTAAACAGGTAAACCAGACTAAACCAGGACTAAACTAAACCAGGTCTAAACCAGGACTAAACCAGGACTAAACAAGGACTAAACCAGGACTAAAACCAGGTCTAAACCAGGACTAAACCAGGTCTAAACCAGGTCTAAACCAGGTAAACAGGCTAAACAGGACTAAACCAGGACTAAACCAGGTCTAAACCAGGACTAAACCAGGACTAAACCAGGGACTAAACCAGGACTAAACCAGTAAACTAAACCAGGACTAAACCAGGCTAAACAGGCTAAAACAAATCTAAACCAAGATTGAACCAGAAATAAACCAGGACTAAGGGTTCTTTCACCCAGACAGTAGTTAAATGGTCCATTCGAATCAAAAGTTCTTAGTTCGGTTTGTTTTCGTTGGTGTAAAAGCCTCAATCGGACTCGAACCTGCACCAAATCAAGTGGACCAAGACCTCAAAAAAGAGGTGGTCTTGGTTCACTTGAATCTGCACCAAAAGCCAAACTCTGGTGCGGTTCCTCTGGTGTGAACATGAACTCGGGTCCAAACCACAGTCAGTCGGTCCAAACGAACTATTTGCAATGCATCATGGGAGGGACACGTGTCTCCTCTGCCTGAAATGTCGCACTGTACGACTCCAGCGCAAAAACAGATTGTTCTTCAGACGCAGCCGCGATTCATTTTCAAATTATTTTGCCAACAAAGACCAATACAGAGAATGTAACACATGAAGATCAGAGCAAGAACCAACGTGTGAAAGTGTCGCTCCAAAGTGAGTCAAACTTATGGATGTGTACTTCTGTTCAAACACCGGGACCTGCTCACACACAGAGGTCCCAGTGTTCTCCGTGTTCACATGGCAACCAGCATTTGTTAATTAACCAAATAATTTTATGGCAATAGGCAAGAGTTGATTCAGTTGATTCAACTTAAAAATGTCCTGAGTCCTGAGTCCTGACCCAGCGGGAGCAGCTCTGGTTCAGGTCAGACTCAGATGACGTGGAGTGAGGAGTGATGTGAGGAGCCTCAGCCTGAGAAGAACCAAGTGCACGGAACCAAACTGGATTCACGCTTCTGTCTGGATGTTTTGCATCACCTCAGAACCACAGTCCTCCAGCACAGAGGACCAGAGCAGCCCACCCGGACCTGTAGTCCACAGAACATTCTCACTTTCCCCGCACAAAACCAGCGCACAGACGAGGACACAGAACCGCTCGGACCCAGTCTGCTGAGCACTGGTCTTACTCGCCCCCGTCTGGAACCAGCACATGGAGGACGGAACCATGTGACCCAAAATGCTCGAAGGACGACACAAGACCAAGGACCAGACCTCAGCCTCGTCCTGAGGGTCTGAGCGTCAGTGATGTTTCTGTGTCTTTACTGCTGTTTCCTGAACTCAGAGCTTCTGCTTCGGGCTGATGCAGTGAGTTTGTACAAAGTAGGGACGGGCATTCGATGAAATTTTCTTAATCGATCGTCGGAAGAATTAACGATCGATTATCGATTAATCATTAATGTTTTTATATTAAAATGATCATCATTATTATTACTATCTGCACTAATCTGCATAAATAAATTCAACTTTACGACATATAAACATAACGACTCTAGATCCACATCAGCTGTTTGACATTATAATGTGTTTAATTCAGTTTTGTTCAAATCTCACAGAAACAAAACTTAAAACCACATCACTAATTTACATAAACTAAGTGAAGATAAAACTCCAGCTCTTGTGTCGCTGATGTGGTTCAACTTGTGTTGGATTAAAAGACATGACTCAGGTGAATACAGGTCAGTTTTGTCAAAACCAGGACAGCGTACGGGGGGAGGGGGGCGGGGCCTCGTCATCCACATTGAGCGACTCTCACCTGGAAAAACTTTTTCCCACTGGACACAGAAACATATGTGCTGCTTTATCCACTGTGCACATGGACTCACACTTGTCCCAACGCAACGGAAAGTGTGGAATTTCTTGTACAAATCCTGGTTAAATCCACATTTGTGCTTCGGTTCGTTACAGACTGACCCACTGTTTGTGTCTCGCTCCTTCTGATGCAGAGACACATGTACACACCTGTTTGGTCACGATACACAACAACCTACATTCAGTTTGTCGATTAAAATGAACGTAATCGATGAAATTCTTAATGATCAATTATCGATTAATCGAATAATCATGCCCATCCCTAGTACAAAGTTCTACATGTTTCTGTTTTATGAGTTCATGGTGAGAACTTGAGATGAGGACGACCGCGGTTTTCACGGGGAAGATCAGTGTTGGTAATTGGAGGTATTGTTGTTCTTCTGGGAAACAGAGGAACGTCAATCGGACCAATTCTGTTTCGTTTGTCGGTGTGAAAGCTCCACTCTTGAGTCTAGACCAGGAGTGTCAAACTCATTTTGTTCCGGGGGTCGTATCCAAACTACTTTGATCCCAAAGTGTCCGGATCAGAAAACTCATGTCATATAAACCCCAAAAATAACAATAAGTTCAAATATTTGTGCAGAGAAACACAAATCTATTACAGAAATCTGTTTTAATTGATGAACTCTTTCTTTTACAAAATATTATAATATTATGAACAACCTGAAACTTAAAAAAAAAAAATGCAATTTCAACACAAAGTTTTAACATGAACTTGTTTGCAAATAGGAATAAGTCCATTTTTTTTTTTTAAATCCTGCACTCGGCTCCACTTTTCTTATGTTTATGTTTGTCCTTTAAGAGCGTTTGGAAAGAGACAAGTCTTCATTTGTGCTGCTCTGGTGGGAGGGGCCACGTACAGAGACGCTGGAGACGCTGCTGTGATAAACACCACAGAAAATTAACAAGATTTTAATAGAAAATATAATTAAATATTTGAGTAGAAAATCAGCCGAGGGCCAGATTAAAGGTCTTGGAGGGCCGGATCTGGCCCCTGGGCCGTATGTTTGACACCTGTGCTCTATACGCTACATAATAACATTTTTATTGTCCGGTGTGGACCAAATAATCGAACTATCGTTGTGAAAATGTCCTTAACATAAACCATTAACCGGACGTTCCACAAACCTACAGCGGGACACTTCCGGCTGTTGTGAAAAAGGTTTATTTTGACCAATGAATCAGATGTGCAGATCTTTTGTGTTTACTGTTCGTCGGAGCGTTTAATCTCCAGGACCATAAACGGAGACGCTGTTACATGTGAGTTCACCAGCGGATTTAAATATGACACAACAAACCACTGATCCACCTCAGGCTTTTCACAAGACTCCAGCGTGTCAAACATGTGAATGAGACAGAACACGAGTCCAGAGGAACGACATCAGAACACGGATCAGAAAATACAGAAGGTCTGCGGTCGACGGTCGTTGTGGTTCACGCGAGAAAAACCTACAAACGTTTGGATCGTACTTATAGATTAAATTAAAAACACTGTGTGCAAAAATATTGAAATATCGATGCTGATAATAAAAAATAAGAAAACGAAAAAAAAACAACAACTATTTTCTACATTATTTGTCTCTAAAACCAAAATGAAAAAACAGATAATGATTTGATTTTTCAGTTTTCGATTTTGTGTTCAAATAAAAAAAATAAAAAAACAGGTAATGGACGAAAACAGGACTGAACCAGGAGTGTTGGGACGGGCCCGGGTGGACTGTCGGGTGATCAGGACTGAGACCAGGACCAGACCGGGACTGAGACCAGGACTGAGACCAGTTTAGTCCTGGTTTAATCTTGTTCTCATCCTGGTTCAGTCCTGGTTCAGTCCTGGTTTAGACCTGGTTTAGTCCTGGTTCAGTCCTGGTTTAGACCTGGTTTAGTCCTGGTTTAGACCTGGTTTAGTCCTGGTTTAGACCTGGTTTAGTCCTGTTTTAGTCCTGGTTTAGTCCTGTTTAGTCCTGGTTTAGTCCTGGTTTAGTCCTGGTTCAGTCCTGGTTTAGACCTGGTTTAGTCCTGGTTCAGTCTTGTTCTAGTCCTGTTTTAGTCCTGGTTTAGTCCTGGTTCAGTCCTGGTTTAGACCTGGTTTAGTCCTGGTTTAGTCCTGGTTTAGTCCTGGTTTAGTCCTGTTTTAGTCCTGTTTTAGTCCTGTTTTAGTCCTGGTTTAGTCCTGGTTTAGACCTGGTTTAGACCTGTTTTAGTCCTGGTTCAGTCTTGTTCTAGTCCTGGTTTAGACCTGGTTTAGTCCTGGTTCAGTCCTGGTCTAGTCCTGGTCTAGTCCTGGTCTCGTCCTGGTTTAGACCTGGTCTAGTCCTGGTTTAGACCTGGTTTAGACCTGGTTTGGACCTGGTTTAGTCCTGTTTTAATCTTGTTTTAATCTTGTTTTAATCTTGGTTTAGTCCTGGTTCAGTCCTGGTTCAGTCCTGGTTCAGTCCTGGTTCAGTTCTGCACAAAAACAAATCAAAGTCTTAAAAACACAAAATGAAAAGAGAGATAAAAGGATAAATCGGTGAAGCAACAGGTGCCGACGGTTCTGTATCTGTGTGTGTATAGTGCGTGTA